TGAAGCGTCTGGAGGAACCTTAACCCATTATAGGTTAATGATCCACCACTGACTGATTGGGATAAAAAAGTAATGTTTAGAGACTTTGGGCTGGAGTTTTGTTTTGGGGTTACAAATCTGAAATCTAATGGATTTCTGGGATCCAATTCCAGGCCAAATCAGAGTCAGACACGAGGTGCAATTTTTGTAGTGATGACCAAGTAGTGCCAGGCAGCACACACACACCATCCATATAAAGGTAGCAGACAGATTCCGAAAGCTGTAGGGAGGCCGTATAGCATGGGAACCTCAGCAGCGCCACTGTCTGAGGAGGAAGCTGCTGACCAAGGAGAGAGTGGGAAGAAGACAGAGAAAGCCAGCATGCCTCTCAATGAAGGTGCCCTTTGAAGAAAGTTTTGAAACTCATTGTGTTAAATAGACCACATTTGCCAGGCCATTGAAATACAAAGGCAGTGGATTGCCACAGTGCTACAAGTCAGACAGGAGGAAGAGGTGGGATCCTACCACTCGGCCTAATGCTGGGAGATTGCCTTCAGTCCCCTGTCATGTTTTTGGTTTCTGTGTGGCTGCCCTAAGCTGACTGCAAAGTTCAAACTGGTTTCTACTGAGTCAGCCCAATAGACTGCCAATCACCCCCTTCTCCTGGAATGGGAATGACCCAGATGCAGGAACCTAAGGAAACCTGGAACGCGTTTGCTTGGCACTAACTTTCAGTCTATCCTGTCTCTACTGTTTGTTTCCAGTCCCTTTGACAGCAATTTAGTTACTATTAATGTTCTGGTGACTGGTTTCACAGGTTTATTACGTCACCTATATTCATAACTTCCTTGCCACTTCCAATACTGTTAAGAAATCCAATCTCCTTGCACTATCTCCTATCGATGATTTATTTACAGTGTTACAGTTTTCCTGTTACCTTTGGACTACATCTTCCTCAGCATGTTATATACTTTTGCTTGTAATTAGCTATGCTGTGGACATGAGCTTCAACCATTGCAACCACTAATTTACTAGCAACATCATACATAGCTCATAACAAACGTTCACAAATCCACTAAAAATTCCCAACACTACCTGTCCACCATCAGAAGCTCCCAAAGAATTACAGAAATTTGGGACAGATTTCCTTAATGTTAATGTCTCTATAAGCAATGCTATCTCTTTCCACATCCACACTAGCAACTAAGTGTTTCTTACTTCCAGTGTATAAATTCCCCATGTTCTTCAGATGCTCAATCAATTGTAGAACTGATTTCTCAAATGCTGTCCCGTTTTTCATTCTTCACAACTCCCAGTTAGTCTATAGTTGTGTGTTTGGAGCATTCTCTTCCAAAGCCCTACATCCCTATTTCAACTGTTCTTGCCAAGCTCTACTGGATCCTTTAGATAAACGCAAAATGTTGCAGATACCAGAGACCTGAAATAGCAACAGAACTTGCTGGACAAGCTCAGCGGGTTTGGCAGCATCTGTGGAAAGAGAAGCAGAAATAACATTTCTCTCCTTCAGAGCTGCAATCTTGTCACATAGCACACTGAGCAGATGTCAATTCTGGTGTATTTTGTACAGACGTATTTTGAAATCAAGGCAAATTCTTGATAGTATTATTCTACTCCATCTAAATTCACTTTCTCAGTCCCATACCAATACTCACTCCCTCTATTTCTCTGACTCCAGGCTATAAGCTCATCTACCAATCCTTTTGTAGACCATCAGAAAAGACTTTCTAGACTCTTCCTTGTTCACGATCCCCTTGTGAAGCTCTCTGAAGGAATCTCATGAAATAATGGCAGTAAGACACGAAACTGTTTTAGATTGTATTATACAAGTCCTGCAAGTCACATGTCTGTGCGTGGATTTGTGTCTGGTGTCCCTCAATTTTTTTGTTTCTCTCTCCTCTCTCTGCACATTTTTTCGCTCTCGCTCCTTCTTTGTGCGTGCATGTCTATCTTATATATTTAAGGAATTCAGAAATATTGATAAAAATGGAAAATGTAGCTTGAGATTTTATGAAATAATTTGTATGGTAGAATCCTTTTTTAAACAAAGTTGTCTGTGACAGATTTTAATGTAATCAGAATCATTTAGAAGTTGTTGGAGGTTTTGTTGTATAAATAAAATGCGAGCTCACATTAGTAATAGTTTTAATAAAATATACATCTTTAATTTAAACAGATATATGGCTAGGTTATTGAATTAAAATAAACTGCAAAATGCTTTGATTTCACTCATATCTTTTTGCAAGGAATTTTACCATGCAGTGATTGTGCACTATCAGGCCATAGCAATCAAATAGAAGGCTGCAGACAGCAAACCAATTGATTTTGAGAGTTAGGCAGTTATGGAATTCATGCCCTACAGGTGACCTGTTTCCTCTAATAAATGCGCTAACATCTAATGGAAAAATTCTCAACTTTGAGCATTTAATAGCAATTGTGAATTGCGACATTAGTAAAGCAACAAAACAGATTGCTGCATGTCTCATTTGGAAAAGTCCTATATCCTAATTGACTCTTGACTGTACTGTTTCTGATTGTGAATTCAATATTCTTGCTCATGTGAAGCTTTTGTAAAATTGGTAACCAATCAATAATTGTCCCAGAAACGACAGGCAGCACAGGTGTGTGTGTGTGTGTGTGTGTGTGTGTGGTGTTCATCCTGAGAGAGGAGAGAGAATATTTACATAATCACTTCTATCCTCTAAATTGAAAAAAAACACTGTGGCAGCTGGAAATCAGCAACAAAGAGAGAAATTGCTGGAAAAAGCTCAGCATGTCTGGCAGCATCTGTGGAGAGAAATCAGAGTTACCGTTTTGGGTTCTGAAGGAAGGTAAATAGACCCAAAACAGTAACTGATTTCTCTTCACAGATGCTGCCAGACCTGCTGAGCTTTTCCAGCAATTTATGTTTTTGCTTGTCACTTTTGCACTCTGTTCATTTAATTGGAATGATGCTGTACAAAATGCCACTGTGAACAAATTGGTGAGACTGGGCTATACTGATGGCTTACCAGCTTTTTTTATGTAAAAAATTAATAGCCTTCCTAAATTATGTTCAATTCAGTAGTTTTTTTGGATGTAGACACTTTTAGTCTTCTGTGTAGAAGGGAAGTCTTAACATCACCTCACCCTTTCCTATTCTCTTATTGGGTTACAGTTCCATAAGAGATGCTATTCCTTAACCAGGTAAAATAGTCTTCATGTGCAAGAAAGGAAGTTAGCTTATCAGTCAATCATTAAATATTTGGAGGAGAGAAGGCTGCTCACAGCCAAGTGTGGTTTTGACTTCATACCAAAGGAAAACAGACATAAACTTTACATGAGGAGCTGTCTGAATAAGAACCCTTGTAGATTTTTCATTTTATTCCGTCCCTAATCCAAATGATTGGAGGATAACTGTTGAAGTTTCTAGGCATCCAATAAAGTGCCAAAGCACATGGATGATTACTTCCACGAGTGGATTTATGCTGTACAACAGTATAGGAGACTAACCATTTAGGAAAATTGAACAGATTTACTTCTTTGGCATTTTCGAGCCTTTATAAGAATTTCCAATTGTTATTGTTCAACTTACTTTAATGTTAATATGATTTAATGGCTTGTCAATCTACAATATTCTATTTCTTTTTATCCTGCCACAGTGCTATATTTTGGTTTTTGCTGAAGATATTATTTTCAGTGTGGTATTTCAGGCCAAATAGCAAGTATTTGCTTGATATTGGCCAAAGTGTACTTACCCAATAATTGGGCAATTTGCAGCAATCTTAGTGAACAAACTGAAAAGTCTTATTAGGTTCTTGCTCCAAATCTGTTATACCATATTTCATCATCTAGTTATAAAAGGTGGAGCAAATATAGCAATTTTGTGTTATCAGCCTCTAAATCTACAGCTATACCTTGGTGCAACATTACTTACAAGTTCAATAGGTCGTGCAGGTTTCTGTTAACAGAGGTGTCTTTGTCGCACAACAGCTATTAAAAATAATTACGAATGCTAACTACGGCAACACATTCCCTCATTTACATTTTTCATTTAACCAAATAGTTGAAGTGTAAATAAGAAAACATGAAGTTTTTGCACATTTAATAAATCTTCAATCAATCTTAATCCAAAATATGCCAATTCTACAACTTGTTAAAATCTAATGTGATAATTTTAATAAACATAAAAATGAGAGTCATAATCTAACTATGGCTGCAGTTTGCTTCGCATTTGATTTTGTGGATTATCTAATCAACCATACTCTACAAATCAGGCAAAGTAGAAATATGTAACAATCTTGCAATATGTATCAATGATTCATAAAATATAGGATTTTAAGCAAGGCCTTAGTGAATTAAACATTATTGGCTTTTCTTGATCGTCGAACGCACTGTACAGAAGATGCATCATTTTGGGGCCCAAATTAGTACACTAACTAAAAAAGAATGTAAAAACAAATAGTAAACAGCTGCATAAAATTGGTAAATAAAAGGGCAATGAGTGATGGGGCACAAATGGTGAACTTGCCAGAGACTCTCACATCCCATTGAAAAAAAGCTGAGAGAAACCAATATCAACATACCTAAGGTAGAATGCACATGAATATCAAAATAAATAACTCTTTTGTAGTAGTCATACAAACACATTACTGAAACTACACTTTTTAATACCACTAATAGAAACTTGACCAACAGCTTGAGAGTCATTATAGTCCACTTTGTTTCACCTAGCCATTTCTCAATCATATACCTGTAAGGAAAATCCCACAAATGAAGAGTTGCACTACAAGAAAGGACTTCTATTACATGATAAATCTTTGTACCCTGAAAAGACAGGAGTTGAGAACAGGACATTTCTAAAGCAGTAAACTTAATCATTTTATAAGGCAGTTTTCTGATACTATATCTATGATTTAAGCTTGGTACAAATTCTGTGACTACGTTCAATTCTTGCTAACTTGGAATATAATCAAGATTCAACTCAAATTTTACCCATCTTCCCCATTGATTGAAGATCTTACCTTGCCAACAGGCTCCAACAGTGAGCTGCATGTCAATATGTGATGGGTGGATTGGCCAATCATCTGTCACTAGGTATGGGTCGTAAGTCACTCCATCCACGTACAATGTCACCACAGGAAACTCAACATTAATGACATAATAATGCCATTCCTTGTCGCAGATCTGAAGTGGAGAAAGATTCTAGCTATATTTCATTCTGAGGAGCACAAGCACCTTTGACCACTTTCTTTTTCGCACAACATCCCATTTGGCAGAAAACATTTAATAATCCTATTACTTTGCTTATGAGTTATAGCTTATTCGACAACACTCTTCTTTTTAGTGTTTTACGGCTAGCCCTGTAAAATAAATTATATTAAGACATGATAACAGACAATATGTGTTATTGCTATGACAGAATTGGAAATATTTAATAGTATGCACATTCTTGCCTGCGCTTGGTAAATGCCTGCAGATAGACTGAAATTTGATTACCACAATAAAAGTCCAATAAGACAATGGCAATTTAAATCATAATCATATTTGAAAGAATCGCCAGCTCTATTTAAAGATGAATTCATTTGCCCTCCATAGCTTGAATGCAGTTGCTATTTTAAAATTGGTTTTTAATTTGAAAGCCATATTTGCAAGAGATTGGTACCATAAAACAAATTGGTTTGCTCAAAGCAGTTGTAGTAAGCAGAATTTTATCATTATTCACGAGGACAGAATTGAGCAAGTTCTGAAAATCCATTTTTTTAAATGCTGTCAACTAAAAATAAGTATGTAAATTACCTTTCTCAGTAATTTATTTTAAAACAAAGCAACTGGTTCTTTGCTGCACATGGGTAGAATATAATTCAAGATAATTACTTCATTCTTCAATCCTGGGGCATTCCCGCAAATAAAAATCCACTTTCTTCGGGATGCACAGTATCCATTGTATTTCATGACAATGTTAAGTTTTAGTTTAATACATTTCCTTGAATAAACTCAATGCATTATCAGTAATCAGCAGCAATAAGAATTTGCATTAATATGAATGTTAAAAATGGTGATTATTACAACAAAGAATTGAAAAAAATAATTTATTGCAGTCTTCATTTACTTAACATCTTGGACATTTCTGAGCCATTGCAGAGAACAGTTTCTAATTGGTCAAATTTGCATAAGAAAACTGAGACTGACTGTGTTGTGACATTCCATATACCCCTATCAAATCCAGAGATGTCTGGTGACTTTCCTTCTAATTTGTCTAACAGAATATTTAAATCCATCATGCTTATTAATGCAAATAATGGTCAACTGATACTTCTCATGGGAATGTCCCTTCTGTGTGCCCTGAAGAATGAATTCTTACAATCTCAAGTTGCACAGATATTTTAGTGTGCTTCACGTGGGCAAAGGAAACTGACAACTCACAGACAGCAATAAACAGAAGTTATGTCTGAAAAGTACTTGAGGGAGTGAGATGGTCAGTAGCTGGTTAACCTGATGGGCAGAGCAGGACGAAAAATGAGACCAGGAACTTTTTGTCACTCATGGGCAGTTGAGCATTTGTTGAACTCACAAAGGCAGAGTACAGTTCACATTACAGAAATCAAACTTTTTTTTGCTGCTGCAATCTATGTAAAACTGCCCTCTAAATGGACTGAGCTGGTGCAGATTTTCAGCTGTTCACCAACTAAATGCTATGACCTCTAGACAGCCAGGCCAATGACATTGATTATTTACTTGTTCCATTGCTACTCCCTTTGCATTTGCAGCGTCATTTCTTTTGTCCATTAACCTCTCCTGCCTTCCAGCCCATCACAAATTCTTTCTCCCTCTCCTACCTTTTCCTACCTCCGCACTTGCTGAAACAGCAGTTTATTTAACTTTTTACAGTGCCGGGGAAAGGGCAGTGCCTTGAAGCTTATCTGTTTCTATATCTTCACTGCTGCCTGACTGACTGAACATTTTCATTATTTCATGCCTTCATTCCAGTTACACATTGCTTTGTTCTGTTAAGGTGCCACTATGTGAATAATTCTACATTTAAAACTCTGCATTGTTTCCCCTGTATATCATTGCTCTCAGACACTTTTCAAACTGTTTAACTGGTACTGCTGTAATGCCTTGAAAAGCTATTTTAATTGCAATGTAGTCAGAGCATGAATAAGTTGTTAATGGCTGGGTTTATTGGCTGCAGTTTCCTCCTTTATTGGCAAAACAATTTTAAAAAAAAGTGAGACAACAAGGTGCAGGGCTGGATGAACACAGCAGGCCAAGCAGCA